TCTCTACCAGGGTTCACTTAATATGTTGAACACACCAAAGAGAGTTTCTCCACTTCCTCAAAGGGCACATGGCTTTCTTTCCCTGTTCTTCCCATCCTCCAGGCTGTGGCTACAGATGTACCAGGCTGACACCCGCCGGAAGATCCTTAGCTATGAACGCCAATACCACACATCAGCAGAAAGAATGGCTGAGTTGAGACTCCAGGAAGACCTGCACATCCTTAAAGATGCCCAGGTTGTAGGAATGACAACCACAGGTAAGAACGTATGGAGAGATTTACCTGTTGGAACCAATTCCACACCTGGTGCCAAGATCCTACCAGATTATCTAGGATGGGTAAAGAGAAGCCTTTTTAGTAGGTTAGAAGAAAACACCCTGAAGAGCTATTGAAAGCAGCCCATATTTTGGGAATTCTTAGTGAAATTCACCCACTTGCTCTTGTTCAGTGGCCAGCAAGAATCTGATGCGCTGGAGACCACGCCACATCTCTCATTCGGTGGTCACCATTTGGAGGAGCATGAGGGCTCGGTTGTCGCTGCCCCAGGTTCAGGGAGGTGCAGAAAGGGACTCCCAGAAGTTAGTGCCTCCACTCAGAGGAGCCCCTTTCTTCTTTCCTGACTTGAGGTGCTGCCAAGTACCGCCAGATCCTCCAGAAGGTGGAGCCCCGTATTGTCATTGTGGAGGAAGCTGCTGAAGTCCTTGAGGCCCACACCATTGCCACCTTGAGCAAAGCATGTCAGCACCTCATTCTGATTGGGGACCATCAGCAGGTGAAGCAGGGCCGCTGGAAGATGGGCTGGCTCTCTGGTGGGTGGGACCCAAGAGTAAGACCCTGGGTTCCTGCTTCAGCCGTCCTCAAGCTTACTGGTAGCTTTTTGTGGTTCCTCTTTCCCTCACCTCCCACTTTCAGTCTAAGAGCAGGTGCTGCTTATTTGGGGTATACGTCAGAGGTCATGTTGTCATTTCATCCATTTGCTCTGCTATTTTCTTAGTCTGCCATGGCCTCCTGAGTAGACTGTTACAACAGCATGCTCCCCAGTCTCCCTCTCCTTTTCTGCTACCCACTAATCCACTTCACATAAAGGAGCCAAAGGAATTTTTTTAAGGTAGATCAGATAATGTCACTTCCCAACTTAAAACCCAGCAGTAGTTTCCCATTGCACTTACTATCAAAATCAGGCAGAGGGGCTCACAAAGGCTGTGTGATCAGGTTTCAGCCTGTTTCTCTGACTTCATCCCATTTGCTCATAGTGCTTCCCCCACCCCCACTAAACAACTGGCAACTTCCTCCATGCTGGCATCTTCTCAGATGTCACTGTTGTGAGAGGCCTAGCTATAAAATCCCTACCCTGGGGCACTCTGTCACATCAGCCTTAATTTCATTAAGCCCTAACCTTGTCATTTTTAATCCTTAACCTTTGAGCACCTAGAATAGTGCCTGGCACATAGGAGGCACTTGAAAAACACTTGCTGGCGGGCTGGATAGACAGGTGAATGGTTGAAATACATTTCTGAGAGAATCCTCAGCCCTGTTTCTCTCCTCAGCTGCGTCCCAGTGCCAATGTGTATGATCTGGCCAAGAACTTCAATCTTGAGGTGTCCCTTTTTGAACGGCTGGTGAAAGTAAACATCCCCTTTGTCCGTCTGAATTACCAGGTGAGAAGTGGGCCTCTGGGATTACCAGGTGCCCAGGAGAAAGCTCCTGGGAACCTGCCGATTGTGAGATATAGGTCTCAGGAAAATAAAACTGGTTTATGAATCTGTCAAACTTATTTTGTTTTCTGTTTTAAAACATGACAAGATCACCCTGTTGAGATTTTGTTGGACACAAGAACTGTTTGGATTATGCTCTTTCTCCCTTACTCTTTTCAAATGTCACTTCCCAGTTTTGGTCTTTAGAGAAATTGGCCACTTGTCCTCTGCTCATGTTTCTAATAACAGACATGTATTGTTTCAGCACCGCATGCGCCCCGAAATTGCCCGCCTCTTGACCCCCCACATTTACCAGGATCTGGAGAATCATCCCTCTGTTCTCAAGTATGAGAAGATTAAGGTGAGTCTGGCCTTCCTGATCTTCCTTTGATGGTGTCAGAACCTCAGGATGATAAAAGGCTTTCGAAAGGGAATAGAGCTAGCTTGTTAAGAAGCTGGTTATTGGGAGGAGGGCTAATATAAAACAATTAAGAAAATAGACCCGGGTTGTATTGTTTTGTTTTGTTTTGTTTTGAGACAGGGCCTCCATCTGTTGCCCATACTGGAATGCAGGATCATGGCTCACAGCAGTTTCCATCTCTTGGGCTCAGGTGATTCTTTCACCTCAGCCTCCTGAGTAGCTGGGACTACCAGGCATGCTCCACCACACCCAGCCAATTTTTATTTTTATTTTTTATTTTTGTAGAGATAAATTGACCTTGCTGCCCAGACTGGTCTCGATGTTCTAGCCTCAAGTGATCCTCCTGCCTCAGCCTCCCAAAGCACTGAGATTACAGGCATGAGCCACCATGCCTCAGAGCTAGGTTTTTAAATCCTACTTCTGTCAGCTAGTAACTTGTCACCTCTAGCAAATCATTTAAGAAAATTCTGAGTGACAGGGTCTTCTGGACAATGAGAATAATGGCTCTTGCCTCCTCCTATTACTGTATTAAAGTAGGAGATGTATGTAAAGCATTCAGCACAGTGGGAATATTCCGTCGTCATCATCATAGTGCTGTTTGTTCTCTCAGCTTTAACAGTTGGATTGTGGGTGGCTATTTCATTTTTTTATTTATGTATTTAAAGTCAGAGTCTCACTCTGTTGCCCAGGCTAGAATACAGTGGCACAATCACGGTTCACCATAGCCTTGACTTCCTGGGCTTAGGCGATCCTCCCACCTTAGCCTCCCAACTAACTAGGACTACCGGTGTTTAACACTATGCCAGCCTAATTTTTCTTTTTTGTAGAGATGAGGTCTCACTGGTGTTGCCTGGGCTGGTCTTGAACTTGTGGGCTCAAACAATCCTCTCACCTACCTCAGCCTCCCAAAGTTCTAGGAGGCTATTTTAAATATTAATATCGCCGGGCTCGGTGGCCCAGCCTGTAATCCCGCACCTTGGGAGGCTGAAGTGAGTGGATTGCCTGAGCCCGCAGGTTCGAGACCTGCCTGGGCAACTTGGCGAGACCTCATCTCTACAATAAAAAAAAAAATTAGCCGGGCGTGGTAGCGCGTGCCTGTAGTTCCAGCTGCTCGGAAGGCTGAGGCGGAAGGATCACCGGAGCCCAGTAGGTTGAGGCTACGGTGGCCGGGAGCGGCCACTGCACTCCAGTCTGAGCGATAGAGTGAGACTCCAACTCAAAAATAAATAAATAAATAAATAAATATTAATATCAAACAAGTATCTTTTTTTTTTTTTGAGTTGTAGTCTCACTCTGTCACCTAGGCTGGAGTGCAGTAGCACACTCACAGCCACCCCAGCACTGACCTGCTGAGCTTAGGCAATCCTTCTGTCTCAACCTTCCAAGTAGCTGGAACTACAGGTGCATGCTACCACACCCAGCTGATTTTTGATTTATTGTAGAGATGAGGTCTCGCCAAGTTGCCCAGACTGGTCTCAAACCCATGGGCTCAGGCAATTCACTTCCCTTGGCCTCCCAAAGTGCTGGGATTACAGGCTGAGCCACCGTGTCTGGTCAAAAAGTATCTTATAAACTAAAATAGACATAAATTCTTTATCTATTTCATAATTTGCCCCATAATAAAGCACATGGTGACTGACTTCAGAATTAAAAATAGTAATGTGCAGGGTGCAAAAAGCATCCAAGGTCTGTCTCTGGGGCAGGGTCGGTGGCCAGTACATGTGAAGTCAGGAAGAAGAAACAAGTGCCATGAGTGAACTTTTTTTTTTATTAGTAGGAGTCTTACTTTGTTACCCAGGCTGAAGTGCAGTGTCACACTCACAGCCACCAGTTCCTGCTGGGCTCAGGAGATCCTTCCGCCTCAGCCTTCCAAGTAGCTGGGATTACAGGCATGCACTACTGCACCCAGCTAATTTTTTTTATTTATTGTAGAGACGAGGTCTCACTGTGTTGCCCAGGTTGGTCTTGAACCCATGGACACAGGCAGTCCTCTCGCCTCTGCCTCCCAAAGTGCTGGGATTACAAGCATGAGCCACCATGCCTGGCTCATGAGTGACCTTCTAACACTGCCACTTCTTACCTTGCCAGGGGGTATCTTCCAACCTCTTCTTCATCGAACACAACTTTCCTGAACAGGAAATCCAAGAAGGCAAGAGCCACCAGAACCAGCACGAGGCTCACTTTGTGGTGGAGCTGTGCAAGTACTTCCTGTGCCAGGAGTACCTACCTTCCCAGGTCACCATCCTCACCACCTACACTGGGCAGCTCTTCTGCCTGCGCAAACTCATGCCTGCCAAGACATTTGCTGGCGTGAAAGTCCATGTTGTGGACAAATACCAAGGGGAAGAAAATGACATCATTCTCCTCTCGCTAGTGCGGAGCAACCCGGAAGGCAAAGTGGGCTTTCTGCAGATCCCCAACCGCATCTGCGTGGCCTTGTCCCGAGCCAAGAAGGGTATGTACTGCATCGGCAATATGCAGATGCTGGCCAAGGTGCCCCTGTGGAGCAGGGTCATCCACACCCTGAGGGAGAACCACCAGATAGGCCCTGCGCTGCGGCTCTGCTGCCAGAACCACCCCGACACCCACACCCTGGTATCCAAAGCCTCTGACTTCCAAAAAGTGCCCGAAGGAGGCTGCAGCCTACCCTGTGAGTTCCGGCTGGGCTGTGGGCATGTCTGCACCCGTGCCTGCCACCCCTATGACTCTTCACACAAGGAGTTCCAGTGCATGAAGCCCTGCCAGAAGGTTGTCTGCCCAGACGGGCACCGGTGCCCCCTTGTTTGCTTCCAGGAGTGTCAGCCTTGTCAGGTGAAGGTGCCCAAAACCATTCCTCGGTGCGGCCATGAACAAATGGTCCCTTGTTCCATGACTGAGTCAGATTTCTGTTGCCAGGAGCCCTGCCCCAAGTTTCTGAGATGTGGGCACAAATGCAGCCACCCATGTGGTGAGGACTGTGTGCGGCTGTGTCCAGAAATGGTCACAGTGAAACTCAAGTGTGGACACAGCCAACAGGTGAAGTGTGGTAATGTGGAAGACCTCATGTACGATATGCCAGTCGAGTGCACCACCAAGTGTAGCACCATCTTGGACTGCGGGCATCCGTGCCCTGGCTCCTGCCACAGCTGCTTCGAAGGGCGCTTCCATGAGCGCTGCCAGCAGCCCTGCAAGCGCCCGCTCATCTGCTCACACAAGTGCCAGGAACCATGCATTGGGGAGTGCCCGCCCTGCCAGCGGACCTGTCAGAACCGCTGTGTCCACAGCCAGTGCAAGAAGAAGTGTGGGGAGCTGTGCAGCCCCTGTGTGGAGCCCTGTGTCTGGCGCTGCCAGCACTATCAGTGCACCAAACTCTGCTCTGAGCCCTGCAACCGACCCCCGTGCTATGTGCCTTGTACTAAGCTGCTGACTTGCGGCCACCACTGCATTGGTCTCTGTGGGGAGCCATGTCCCAAGAAATGCCGTGTCTGCCACATGGAAGAGGTCACCCAGATCTTCTTTGGCTTTGAGGATGAGCCTGATGCCCGCTTTGTGCAGCTAGAAGACTGCAGCCACATCTTTGAGGTGCAAGCCCTGGACCGCTACATGAATGAGCAGAAAGATGATGAAGTCGCCATCAAGTTGAAGGTCTGCCCAATCTGCCAGGTACCGATCCGCAAAAACCTGAGGTATGGAGCTAGCATCAAACAGCGGCTAGAAGAGATAGAAATCATCAAGGAGAAGATCCAGGGCTCAGCAGGGGAAATCGCAACCAGCCAGGAGCAACTGCAGGCCCTGCTGGAGAGGAAGAATATCCTCTACCAGCTGCTTCCCAACGATTTCCTAATGTTGAAGGAGAAGCTAGCCCAGAAGAATTTGTCGGTGAAGGACCTGGGCCTGGTTGAGAATTACATCAGCTTCTATGACCACCTGGCCAACCTGTGGGAGTCCCTCAAAAAGGTGCAGGTCTCAGAGCAAACAAGAGTGAGGACTCGACTCAACCAGGTCCACGAGTGGCTGGCCAAGAAGCGCTTGAGCTTCACTAGCCAGGAACTCAGTGACCTCCAGAGTGAGATCCAGAGGCTCACATACCTGGTGAACCTCCTTGCCCGCTGCAAGATGGCCGAGGGGAAGGTGAGAGGTAGCGTAGCAGAAGAGGTCCGCAGTGTCCGGAACATCCTTGAGAAAACCTGTAAGTTCACCCAGGTGGATGAGCAGCTTGTGCAGAAGAAGCTGGAAGCCCTGAAAGCTACCCTTCCCTGCTCTGGCCTGGGCATCTCAGAGGAAGAGCGAGTGCAGATTGTCAGCGCCATGGGCTATCCTCGTGGTCACTGGTTCAAGTGCCCCAACGGCCACATCTATGTGATCAGTGATTGCGGGGGTGCCATGGAGAGGGGCATGTGTCCTGACTGCAAGGAGGTGATTGGCGGCACAAACCACACTCTGGAAAGAAGCAACCAGCTCGCTTCTGAGATGGATGGGGCCCAGCATGCCGCCTGGTCCGACACAGCCAACAACCTGATGAACTTCGAGGAGATCCGCAGGATGATGTAGGGAGACGGTGCGCCGCCTTCTGTCCTGGCCGCTGTCTGGCTGGTGGGGTCAGCTCCCTTATGAAGGAACAAGGTGTGTTTCTTCCTGTCCTTTAGTCTTAGCACCTATGTAAGGGTCTACTTCTCGGGCCTGCCCACATGTTTCTAGAGTTACCCTGCGCTAGAGTAAGCACTTTACCTCCAGAACTGAGAGCCAACTTAACAGGTCTCACTTCTTTCTCTCCTGCAAGCTAGTGGACAGACTCCCTGGAACATGTTTTGGGGCTTCCACGTGGGGCACCTGGTGGTATCTCTGGGTCCTGATTTGGTCAGATGTTTCTTCTGCAGTTTCCAGGAACAGTATGAGCTTGGTGAAGCTGATTCTGGTTGCCAGACCCTAATTTGCATACTGACATTTCATCCTAACCATCAGAAGCCCAGAGGGGTTGCTTATGAACTGCTTATCCCTTCAAGGAGCACAAGAACCTCCCCCACTCTCCTCCCCACTGCAGGAGGTGGAGGCGTGTGATGAGACTTCAACTCACCCTGACCCAGTTACATACTCACTGAGAATGGCAAGAGTGGGACTGCCGACAACTGGGGCTTAAGCTGCAGGCCCGAGCCAACTGAGTGGCCCCTGTACCCTTCCCTATGACCTGCACTTTGGGAGGGGGAAGGTTTCTGGACCTGCCAGAGGAGAGATTTGATAGCGCTGCTGGTTCCCCAGGGTCTTGAGTGGAGCTACACTCATACTCAGTACCAGTAGCACATAGCCCAAGCGTGACCCCTCACCCCAACACCCTCTTGCAGCTTTTGCCTGGGCAGGGTTAGCATGCCAGCAGCTTCTGCAGGCCCCGGCCCCAGGCCAGAAGCCAGCCCCAGGCCTGCTGCCTGCACACGCATTCCCTTGGTCCAATGTTCCTTAGATCAGACACTTAGGTATCTCAGGTCCTTTCTAATGTTGGCAAGATAAACACTCCTTTTCCTATGTATGCATTTCCTTTTTTGTCTTTACTATGCACTTTAGCCTATAAAGCCAATTAATAAAAACGATGATTGAGAAGAGCACTGGTCCATGTCTATCTGCAACTTTTAGAAGCAGCTCAGATAGCCCGAGGCAGGATGGGGCCAGGGCAGACACTGCCCACAGTGAGGCCAGGATTATGTGTTTGTCGTCTGGGGTTTTTATTTAGCTGATTGAGTCGTTTCTACCCATGATTTTTAAAAAAATTTTCATCCTGTACAAAAGGGTCTACTTGAAGTTTCCTTCCCCAGAGGCAACACTGTAAACTTCATGAGTCCTCCCAGAGATAATTTATGCATGTACTATAGATCTATACCTATATTTTTTTAAAGTACAGTTTCTGCTTTCCAGCCTAATAAACTACTTTATGTAAAGCACATAAAGACAGAAAGTCTGAACTCTACCATGCTGTTGGGCTACCGTTTTCTTGACCCTCTGTGGGACTTTTGGGTACAGGCTATGCACTACTAGTATAATTTTTAAGCTGGGGGGGGTAACAGTTTTCCCAAGGGGTACCCCATAGCTTTTATCTAATTCTAAAAGGTACCTGAGTCAGAAAAGGATGAGGACCACTGTCCTCTAAGGTAAAAGCTAGCCTTTGCAGCAGGGAGCTAATTAATGGTATTGGGCTCTTCTGCCCCTCAGCGTCCGCGTCTCCAGCGGCACTTCCTTGGCAAAGCAGAAGCAGCGGGGATGGGTTCAAGTAGGCACTGGTTCCAAACACCAGAATTCTCAGCTGTGCAACTCTAGAAAGTCTATCTTTCCGAGACTCTGTTTATTGGAAAAACGGACATTACCTGGCTCACAGGAGTGCACTGAGTTGAACGAGACTGCTCAGCACACACGACAACTGGCACATGGTTGGTACTCAAAAGAAAACTTTTTTATTTTTAAGAGATGGAGTTTTGCTATGTTGCCCAGGCTAGAGGAGAACTTCTAGCAAGAATGTTCAGTCTGCATCCAGCTCCCCCTCCACATTCATCAAGGTCATGCATCCCAACTGCATGCAGTGGAGCCAGGCTCTGCCACTGCAGAAGAGGTCGTAATAAGATACACAATCAACTAGCCGGGCTCGGTGGCTCAGCCTGTAATCCCGCGCCTTTGGGAGGCTGAGGTGAGTGGATTGCCTGAGCCCGCAGGTTCGAGACCTCTTCTGGGCAACTTGGCGAGACCTCATCTCTACAATAAATCAAAAG